TGGGCCTCCCTACTGAAGCTGCTACCCCCGCGACCCGATGGATGGATGGATGGATGGATGGATGATTTATAAACTGAAACTTTAATATACATAAATAAATTTTGCAGTATGTATAAACTTGGGAGGTATGGCCGAGATCATCCTAAATATAAGATCTTGGCCTTCATGCAAATGTATATAAATGTTACCAGCCTAAAGAAAACCCCAATATAAAGCATGGTAATGACAGATTCCTGCTCTAGGAATTCTTATTTTTCAAAGACAAGGAATCTGATTCCCAATGGACGTTGGACCATCAAACTTGGTACTTTGATGGAGGTTTATCTTCCAAAAAGGACTCCAAAGTTCCAGAAGCATGTTCATGTGAAATAATGGCCCAGTCAAAGTCCACTCCAAAGTCAAATTTTAATTTTTTTGCTGGTTCCTCTTGCAAAGGTAATCTTGATCTCAGTGGTTAAAAGAAGAATTATGAATGTACTTGAAAAATCCTTCTCCTGAGTTAAACATTTTTGACATCCATCCCTATAAGAGTTGGGGTTAAGCAGCAACTTGCAGCAAAAGGTTGTTCTAACTGTAGGGGCCTAAACATAGATCCACCCCACATATTTTAGGCTTATATTTGTGAAAGATGTGAAAACTGTGCATCTCGTTGCTTTCATTTTACAGTATTACACTTTGTAGTTTAGTTTCATAAACTAATATCCCACAAAAATAAAAGAGTGTTGTTATAACCTTACAAAAATGTAGTACCACTTTGTTGATGTGATTGCTTTTGCAAGTCACTGTACTTAGGGAAAGTTAACTACAGCGTCAGCCCAAAAATACTCACACTTTCATTAGCTTTAATTAGCCCATGCATTCACTGTGGTATTTTTTTAATTAGATTTTGCAATGTCACCTTTATTTTTCTCCAGAGTTGCTCTACTCTTTTGCCTAGAAACTTGTACCAATGGAGAGTTGGGCCACTGCTCAAATTCTTTTCCAGCACAGGTTCTCAAACAATAAGGTCAGGACAGCGCATTAACCATTCTATATGTGAGGAATATTTCTCATGCTCCTTGAACCGTCCAGCCCAGTGAATTTTTTAGGGTTTCCAGGGTTTTGTTGTATTTCTGGTGTGAGTAAGCTTCTGACACAGACAGGATTTTTGCTGGGCTGACCCATATTTCTACAAACCTGAGAACACTTTTCAATTAAGATGACTACCATATATTTAAGGAGGCGAAGGATCATCTCTCTTTGCCAGATGATTATCCCTCCTTACACAGCTACTGAGGAAACCATTCACAAATGGAGTAACCAGGGTATTCAGTATTATTAGTGATTCAGTTAACCACAATTGTTTGGTTCAAAGTTACTGAACCTGATCTACAGCAGCAAAGCCAAAATCACACCACTGTCTCAACAGGCTTGTACTGTTAGCACAAGACATAATGGATGCATCTCTTCCTGTTACTCTTCTTACCCTGGTGCACCCTTTAATCTGGAGTAGGAGAAAACTTAGAGATAAACCGATCAGATATCGATAATTTGATATTGGATATCAGAGATCCAAACCAGTGCCCTTTACAAGGAAGATATTTTTTCTGCTTATTTTTTTATCAATATTAAGTACATTTATATCTATGCTAATCTTAATCTTTTTTAAACAATGTTTAAGTCATGGCTAAAGCCTTCACTCACATCACAAGATATATGGTTTATTCATTCAACAGTTGATATCTGCTGATGCACTCAGCCCAGGTACTGGTACCGGACTGGATTGGAAAAAAAACTAGTTTAGTGCATCTCTTGTAAATATATTAAATTAGACCATGTGACATGTTACATCTGTTGTAAATATAGATTAATTAGACCATGTGATCTAGCTCTATTTGCATTCTTCATTATTTGCATTCTTCATTAAAAACTCTCCAAGTTAACCTCATTTTTAATTATTCAATTTTTACCACACAATAACATATTTTCTGACAGTTTTTCATTTATAATGACTGATCCTATTTAACCTGTAGGATTATAACAATGTGTTGGACATTTGTTACATCATTTCAGCACTTCCAGCAATCTGCCAACAGTATGACCTTTCTGAAACAAATATAACATATTTTCTGTGGCCATAGGAAGAAATGGAAACCTACTCTCTGCATAACTTGAATTAATTCAATTCAGTTTTAAATTCTGTTTGTTTATATATCGCCTACTCACAAAACACGTAATCTAAAGGCACTTTACAGAGACTCAATCAAGTCATACAATCAGATTGCTTAAAAGTTCTCTACCAAAGGACACCTAGCTAATTGCATCGACTAATTGACAATCAATCTCCACCACCAAGCATTTTTGTAGCGACAGTAGAGAGAAAAACTCCCTTTTCACAGAAAAAAAACTCCAGCAGAACCAGGCTAAGTGTGAGCGGCCATCTGCCGAGGCTGACTGGGGTTGAAGGACGGAGAAACAGACATACAGAAAGAAGCAGAGATACAAAAAGGCAACTGTCAACCAGCTCCACGGGCGGCGGCGTCCAGGAAACACACAGCCAGGTAGACGACCTCCGAGCCAGCTCCCATG